AGTGGCTATTTTAGATTTATGTCCCTGAACTTCCACTCTTCAGCCGATAGGACGGATGGCCATCAAGTCCAGGAACAAAATGGGTAATAACTACCGTATTGTTGCTACCTTACCACACAAGGTAAAATGACAGTATGTGTATTTCCAGACTTTATAGCCACTCTCAATGTATTCTAAAGAAGCCTTCAGTCCTAACTAAATACAGAGATACATAAAACCCTAACAGTTACAACTATGTCTTTGCCCAGGCTTTTAGAAAATCCAGGTTCCTTTTCTTTTCTTTTTTACAGATTGTAGCTCCCTAGGGGCTCTGATGAAATGGCGAAATCTGTGCAGCCTCTTGCCTATAAAAATTCACGACTAACTTAAAGAGCTTCATTCCTCCCTGAAGTCTTTGTGCATGACCTCAGGGTTCTTGTTCCTCAAGTTGAGGGCTCATCTCAAATTTTTTCTCTTTGTGGGGTTAGAGCTTCAAGAGATGAGTAAGTCTCAGCTTCTTCCTCTGTCTGAGATGCCAACTTCACTCAGCTTCTGAAGGACCAATGTGCCCCTTCTTTAAGGACTAAGAAATCAGTATTTGGGGGGCTGCTGGGACTCACCAGTAGATCTAAAGGTCCCCCGGTGAGCAGCCATGTCCACTGAGAGGGCAACAACAAGCACCCATGAGGCCCCCTGCAGGATTGTGCATCATAGATAAGGCTGCTGGGCATCTTAATATTCTGCGTATATTAAAGATTCCTATGGGAAAATAAGTCCTGAGGAATGTTGGCATGAATGATGTAAACAACCTCATATTTATAAATACAGGTTTTCCTGGGCGAAGGATCAAGATTCCAGAAACACTAAAGAAGTTAAGTATAGTCAATCTTCCTTCTAGCTGCCTCCAGTGAGAGAAGGCAGGCTCGATTTCCTCTATGCAATCATATTTACAGCTAATTCTTAAATGCCCAGGTTGCATAATCACGAGCTATAATGATAAACATATGAACTTGAAATCACTAAAGGTCTAATTTATCAGGCAGGTGAAGCAACTCAGTACAAACCATGAGGACTGTAATGGCTGTATTAGGAGGGTAGGGGGCTGCTGAGAATGTGCACTCTGGGGTCTGGCAGGCTCTACCATTCACTACTATTTAATGATTGTCTTGCTTTGAGGAAGTCTCAGACTTGGCAGTCTTGCACATAAACATAAGTAACAACAGTGGTTATCTCATGAGGTCATCGCTGTAACAAAATGAGATGGCACATATGAAAAGCTCATGTCAGCACCTGACATGAGAGAGCAAATTCAAAATGCTAGTTATTCTCTCTATAGACATTTCTGGTATTGTGCAGTTGGTTGAAATTCTCCATTAACAGAAAAACTAAAAGGAATACCAGTCTCATGCTCTTATAAAAGTATCTTGGGCCAGCAAGATGGCTCAGTGAATAAAAGTACTCTCTATCAAGCCAAAAAAACCTCAGCTAGATCCCCAAAAGTCACATAGTGGAAGAAGAGACTGATGGATAGCTACATATTATCCTCTGAGGCCCATGAGTGCCATGGTATGTGGGAGTCTACGCACACGCACACGCACACGCACACGCACACGCACACACACACAGTTTAAATGAAGTTATGCCACCTGGGGTGATAATGTTCTCCTCCAAGACTACCTAACAAAAATAATCATAGTCCCAGGCATTTGAGAAAATTCCTTTTGAGTTATTGGCCAAGGGACTCCAAGAGACAACCCATAAACAACATAGGCATTACACTGTATTTTCATTGCCTCCCAGAATTTGAAGGTAAGTCCCTATTGCTGAAGACTCCACATACTTCAGACATGGGACTTAAATGATTCTGCTGGATCTGATGTGGAAGCCTTCTTCCTAAGGATTAGTTCTCATAGTACCAGAAGGTGCCATGGAAGATGACAAGGGACAAGAGAAATCAATAGTCCCAACTAGCTGTAAAGCCTTGATCCACAACAATGACCAGGGTGGTAAGATATTCCAAGGGTGCAATAGTGGCACTTATATCTTGGGGATAACCAACAACTTTCTTATTGTACTTCAGGCACTAGAAACCTAGCTGACTAGGCATGGCTGGTGACGTCATGGTCATCAAAGGAGAAGCTACTCCTCTTTCTTACACCACGTTCCTAAACCAGTGTAACTTCTAACTGCATTCTACATACTTAGCCTTCCACCCACAGATAAGCGTAGCTCCCATTCCTCATCAAAGAAGCTTCTTTTTTTATAGCAGATAGAGATCATTAAAGAAGTCCACAACTTGTCAAAATGCAGAGAACAGCCGACTGTGGGATGCGCAGGCCTGACAGATAAATCAACAACATGACTCGTACACTTGAGGTTCAGGGAAGTGTGTAGACTATGGGGTGGAAAGATTGTGAGAACCAGAGGACTAGGACATCCACTGCTGGGTCTTATGATGAGAAGCCACATCCATAAAATCTCAAACATATGGTCACTTAAATAAGCCCTACACAATGACAACACCAGTTAACACATCAACATGAATGGGGGAAATCTCACAGGCTGCACCTCTAGGTGAAGAGCTACAGGCAATTAATAGCTGCTACTAGAAAGAAAATCAGTCTTCTCCATGGCCCTGATAGGTTAATCCCCAGTGGTCAGTACTACACATATATGCATATGAGTAACACTAAATGGACTCAGCAGGCTGTATCTATCTATTCATATGTACATATATGAAACAATAAAGGAGAAGAGGTCATGAGCTTAAGAGAGAGATGGGGAACACAGGAGGAGCTGGAATGAAGGGAGAGTTATAAAAGATATAAGTAGAGTACTCATGTATAAAATCTCAAAAAAAAAAAAAAGAAAGAAAAGAAAAGAAAAGAAAGCAGCCCCCAAGATTTTGTGACTCCTATTATATACAGTGTAAACAAAGAACATAGTTCTGAAGATTTTCCCAGAACTACACTTTCCCTCAAATCACCATTTAAATTTCTGGTTATACACATAACATCTATTTCAAGAAGCTAAGTACAGTGAGACAAACCTTGAATCTTAGCCCTTTGGGAGGCTGGAGGACTGTGACAAGTTTGAGGCCAGGTTTTTCTACAAAGCTGATTCCAGGCTAACCTTGGCTAGCCTGAACTACACAGTAATGCTTTTCCCCACACACAAAAAAAAAAAATCCATTCCTAATTGCAGTAAGTGAAAAGCACCATGTCTCTTAAACTAAAATAGTCTGGAAAAAGCTATTTCATGCACATCATGTATGGTACCTTTTACTTTTTTAAGGACTATTTCAGATCTAAGAAAGAATAGAGATTTTTAAGAAATAAAAGTATAAAATATAAATATATGTAAATATACTTAAAATTAGATGTATAAAGGAAATGGGATATTAATGAGAACTAATTATACTATAATTCAGTGCTGTCTAGTCATCTTGAAACTTTGTCCATTAAAAAATTCAGATCCTCATGATACAAAACTGCTAAAATTGATGTTTGCTATCAATCAACAAATATATGTCAGGAGGCCATAGATCTCAGAACCCTCTGTGAGCTTGGTGCGGTGTGTAGGGGTATAGGGAAGTCAAGAGCACACTCTACTGGGTCAGGGCTGAGCTTTTGAGTTCTGTCTTGACCATGGCCTGTTTCTCACTGATGATAACACTGGCCTAATCAGTTAGTCTTTCAAGATGCTTCCTCTTCAGATTGAGCAAGTTTAATGACATAGATCTTTAAGGCCCTTACCAGATTCAAAATTTACATAGCAAGCTCCTGCATACACTCACAGGTCATGAAGGCCTCCCAAAACATCTTGGTGAAGGACCAGGCATGCTGTATTTGTCAGGTCACAGGAAGTTTAATGACCACTCAAGAGTTTAGATGTGATGAGTGTTCACTCCTGCAAGCTTCCACTTTTAGGTACTAGCCGCTTCACCAGAGCACCCATGCCACACATGTTCACAGACTACATAGCTCAGTTGTTCTAACATTGACTAAACAAGTGTTCAGTACAGACTCCTCCTGCTGTCAGGTTTTCGTAGAGCCCTGACACCACCTCAGCTTTGTCTGGCACACACTGAACACCTCCTAAGAGAAGGGCTGGAGGCGTAACTGGTGTGTACGCTCAGCATCACTTTCTTGGTTAGAGTGAGGATAGTTGCAGGCAGTAAAAAGAAAATCACAAGTAGAGCTTGTGTGTCTCACAGTTTAAGACAGATGCATCACCACAGTCACGGCAGTGAGGCATCTTTCTGCAGTGGGGCTTTCATGTCCTGGTAGACTGGACAAATGCCACCGTATTGGGATCTTCTTTTGCTTTATGGTGAGCTGTGTGCCTGAGTTGCTGCAGTTAGACATTGGACCAGTGGCATAGCCAATAAATAATATTTAGAAAAAAAAGAGGCTCACATTCTACAGTGCCACCCCAGCCATATACAATTCTGCTGATAGTTGAAGCTCTCAGTTTCAAACTCCTTGCTTATAAATTTCCCTTTAGAAGAAAACTCTTGGCATATGTTACTGTCATATTTCTGTCAAGTATAGGTAAGGCCCTACAAAGATGATGGAAAAAATGAATTGAGACCATATACATCACTCAAGCTAAATAAGAATGTGATTGGCTTTGCATAACTCAGGCCAAGTGGTCCACATACCTAAATCAGAAGCACAAACTCACAGAGAAAATCCAGCCACCCAGCAGCAGTTTCCTTTGTTCTGAATCTTTATGTTTGTCAGAAGATATAGAAATGTCGGACCAGGGCTGGAAAAAAATCTATGAAGAAGTGACATCATCCTGGGACTGGGGGTGTCTGGCACTCAGTGGCAGGAGGCTTGCCTAACATTCTGGATCCCCAGCATGGTAATGCAACAAAGCAGCTAACACACAAATGGAGTGAAACAAGCCCAAATGTGATGCACTTGGTTCAAGAAGCAGGAGTTCAGAAATCTGAGATCCCATCTCACATTGCTGCCCTCCATCACCCCAGAGCTCAGGCTCTGAATATCACTTACCCTATGACCACACAGGAGATGGCTGTTCCCAAGAAGGCATATGTTAAAATGGATCCCAAGTTTTGAAAAAAGTGTCTCTGGGGAGAAACAGAAAACATTTCATAGAGTACATCTGCATTTCTTACTGAAACAGGAAATAAGAATAAGCCAAGCCACTCACAGCCTTCCCCTCTCTCATTATTTAAGCAAATCTTCTTGGGGCCTCATCCTTGGATCCACTTCCCTTGGGTATGAAGCTTAGTAAGTGATTTTTCCGCAACAAATAAGGAGAAGAGAAAAGCAGTGAACAAATCTGGAATGATGATGCCAAGGGAAGGATAACCCACAGAACCGCCTAGACCCCAGAAGAGGAAACAGGCTGGGCATGAGTGGTCAGGGCTCTGGGACAAATACTTAACCAAGACACAGTTGTCAAGAAGGGTTTTGTAGACATAACACCTTTAACTTTTAAAATCTCATTCTAAGTGACTTAAGTGGCATCTGGCTTTCGTAGAATATTCTGAGTTCTCTCTACATATCTTCTGATTGTGATGCAATCAAACAAAATCTAACTAAACAAATACTTTATGCCTCAAATATGAAATGATGCCTAGTACTGAGGTAGGGTATGAGAAAGGATGACCTGCTAAAATCTAACCTGAATCCTTTCAAGTGCTTGCTTGGGAACATTCTCTTCCAGGTTTTTAGTGAGAGCTGAACAGCCAGCATTGACAGCAAGAGGGAGCCTGGAATCCACAAAACACAACAACAACAACAAAACCCTCCATGTCTGCAATGAAGAAGCTGCCTGGCTGCTGGGTATGGCAAGCTAAAGGGAGGCAGAGGAGAGCCCTGCAAGTCTCCAAGGTGCTGCTAGGCAGCACAAGAGAGGCATGTCCCCTCTGCCCTGCTTTGTGGCACATCACTAACCACCTAAGTGAATTACTAACCTGTGACATGGACAGTCAACCTGTACCCAAGAACTGCCAGTCATGAACTCAAAGACGGAAAACTGTGTTTCTCTCTGTGAATTCTTCTCTCTGTGTTTCTCTCTCTAGGAACGTTCTTCCTAACTTTGCTTGGTGGTGATAAACCCAGTGTGAGCTAGCATGTGAGTGCTTGGTTCACAGTCATCTAGGATAACACTGTTCAATGGCCAAATCACACAGTTCACATATGTCATTTACAGATCTCCTAGACGGCCACACTAAACTTTTAAAAGGTGAAATGGAGTTTGTTAATGTTTTGTTTAACACAGTATATTCCTAATGCTATAGTTTCTTTACAAAAATCATTATAAAAATTATTGAGATGATTTACATTCTCCTTTAAAATGCTAAGATTTTAATATCTAGTGTACATGTTGCATTTACAGTGTATCTCACTTTTAGACAAGCCACAAAGTTCACTAGCTATGTGTGCTTTAATAGATTTAAAAGAATTCCAAGAATGTCAGGGTTAAACATTTATTGCATGTTCTACACAGTGCTGTTCTTACTGAATTGGAAATCCCATAAAATATAACTACCTCTCATTAGTGTTGGCAAAATTTCTACTTAATGATAAAAGATGGGGACACTTAAGTTTACCTTTTTCAGACTGTATCCTGCATGAAATATAATGGGAGGCAGTAAAACGTTGAAGAAGATTTCTGGGTCAAATGTCATCTGCCAAAGAAAGACAAAAGTCAAGTTAGACATGTGTTTACAAAACAGGTATAGGACTTTTGCAAAGGTTGCATGAAGGCTATATTGATATTCTATTAAATTAGCAAAGATAAAAATAAGAAAAAATAAGAGAAAATACAAAATTAGAAATTTATAAGTACACTATCACGTAAAATAATATTTAAATCTAAAATGTAGATTTTTTTTTTATCCTGTTGCTAACAATAACAGTCAACAAAAAGATCTCAATGAAATCTCTCTAGGAAAGAAAGCTTTTTCTTTCAACTTGATTAGTCATTCCCAATTTATTTTATTAATTTATTTATGTAGTTTTCACTAGTCCAGAATGACCTTGAATTCACAACCCTCCTGCCTCAGTCTCTCCAGTACTGGGAGGCATCACCACGCACAGCTCATTCTTTATAGCTCAAGTGTTTTTAATTATGTTTCACTTTTTTTCTTGGTCAAAAAACTCTCATGTTCAAGTTTTTAGCTGTTGATAAAAATTTAAAGTGTTTCCCAAATAAAAGATATTTAGAGAGACTTGGTCTTCAATTTCTCTATTTTATCCTCCTCCAAAGTTTAAAATATATTTCCAAGCTGAGGAAAACACTTTTGAAAATGAAGATGCATTTTCTAGCATTTATACATGGCTTTTTACTTGTGTTAAAATAAACTTAGCCAAAAAATGTATGAACTGATGTGAAATATAATGAAATGAGATGTGAGAATTCTTGAATCCAGTATCTGCTGTACACTTGACAATTTGCAAAGAGCTCATTTGATTTCTAAAGCCATCTTACACTAATCCTCATCTTCATCTCTCTCTAATATATATATATTACATAAATATAATCATGCACACATCCACACTCACACACACCCACCCACCACTCATTTTATCCCTGGGACCCACCCACCATTAGGATGCTCATCCAAATGCCTAGATGCATAGGTTTCACACTCTAATTTGCAATCTTCCTCTTGTTGCCTTTCTCTGCATTCCTCTCTGAAACAGATCCCAGAAGTGGCTTTGCTGTGGATTTGCCCAACCTCTCCACCCATACTGCCTCTTCTCTATGTGCTCATAGCCCTTGGCCCCTCCTGGTAGTCTGTTTTTTGACATATACTGAGTGATGACTGACTTGCTCTGTTTTCTACATTAAATACAGGATCACAATGATGCCTTATCAATTCAGTCCCACCTTGGTCCCTCCCCGTGCCTAGACCATGGCTCAATATATATTTACTCAATTGAAAAGACAAGAGAATTACCTTTGGGAGTCAAACCTGTTAAAACGGAATGACTCACACTTGGCCTCACCACAGGTGAGGAACAGTAAGTGAACATTCAGAAGAACCTCTCTAGGACTTGGTGGCTTTCCCCTTAGGACAGTGAGGACACTGTAGGACCTTCTCTTCTCCCTTCTCCGTGCTCAGTTTCAACTCTGCTCATCTAATTAATATTTAGGGAGGGAAGGTGGAATAAGTAGGAGCTGCTAACTAAGCTTGGTTGATTCTATACCCATTGATTCTATACCTCTGTACCAGTGAACATCTAGGCAGGCCATCAATACCCCTGACTTCCACCAGAGGCCTATGGTACATTGACCTGGTTAGGGTTATCATTGTTGTAATGAAATGCCATGACTAAAGTAACTTGGGGTGGAGGTGGCTTATTTGGCTTACACTGTCCAGAAGGAGGTCAGGACAGGAACTCAAACATGGCAAGAACCTGGAAGCAAGAGCTGATTTAGAAACCATGGAAGGGGACTACTCACTGGCTTGCTCCTCATGGCTTGTTCAGTCTGCCTTCTTATAGAACCCAGAACCACCAGCCCAGGGATGACACCACCCACAATGGGCTGGGCCTTCCCCCACCAATCACTAATTAAGAAAATGCCCTATAGGTTTGCCTACAACCTCCAATCTTATGGAAACATTTTCTTAATTGAGGTTCCCTTCTCTCAGATGACTTTAGCTTGTGTCAAGTTGACATAAAACTATTCAGCATATACATCCTCAGTTTTCTGCCTGAACCCCATGGCCTTGTTCTTATGCTATTTTGCTCCACTAGCTCCCTCAACATCAGTTTACCAAAGTTCATGAGAACTGGGATGTGATAGTTCAGCTTATCTTTCTACACCAAGTCTAGGGGGCACTGGGGAATTTGGATGGTCATAGGTTGGCTGTTTTTGAGTAGGTGACAATTCCTGAACCCATCAGCTTTAGGTCTTGGGTCCACACAAGCCCTGCCTCCAGCAGGGATAAAGGTCATGGTCTGGTTTTTAGCCTAGCTTGCTGTGTTGCATCTTCTCCGAAGTGTTTTACATGTTCTACAGACAGAGAATGGGAGACTAACAGCTGCTTCCTGCCCAGCTGTGCCCTTAGACACACCCTCCTGGTTGTCTATCTTAGTCACCATTTCACCCGTGTAATTCCAGTTTCTAAAAAACAGGAAAACATCTTCAGCTAAGAGTATATCCTTATTTGCTTCTCTACATCGTACATAGTTTACTCCCTGATAAAGGTTTAATACATTTTTTTTTTTCAGTTTTTTGACAGATTGAAGAATACCTGGAGGCTTCTAGCAAGGTAACAGTTCTCATCTCTCTCACTCCTGGGCTATCAAAACTCACAGTACTACACAACTACCAGGCAATAACTGACCAATCACCTTAGAAATTGAAGAAGGCCAACACAGAGAAATAATGGAAAATATGTCTTCTTGGCAGCTGCTATTCATTCCCAGGGACACTGTGGTATACTCTGGCTGACATTTTATCGAGCACCCACAGAAAAATGGAGATGGTAACTTTGCATTGCTATAACTCATCACTCTGCCATCCATTCTGAGAGGTGTACTAGGCCCTAGTGTAGACAGATTTTTCTTTGGGCTGTGAGCTCACAAAAAAAAAAAAAAAAAAAAAAAAAAAAAAAAAAAAAAAAAAAAAAAGACAAATCTGTTGCTCTGATTGGTCAATAAATAAAACACTGATTGGCCAGTGGCCAGGCAGGAGGAAGTATAGGCGGGACAAGGAGGAGAAGAATTCTGGGAAGTGGAAGGCTGGGTGAGAGAAACTGCCAGCCACTGCCATGACAAGCAGCATGTGAAGACTCCGGTAAGCCACAAGCCATGTGGCAAGGTATATATTTATAGAAATGGATTAATTTAAGATATAAGAACAGTTAGCAAGATGTCTGCCACAGCCATACAGTTTGTAAGCAATATAAGCCTCTGTGTTTACTTGGTTGGGTCTGAACGGCTGTGGGACTGGCGGGTGACAAAGATTTGTCCTGTCTGTGGGCAAAGCAGGAAAACTCTAGCTACACAGACTTATTATTAATTATAAAAGTTCACCCTATAACTTAGGTTTATTCCACTAGCTCTTATAACTTAGATTAATCCATCTCTATTCACCTACGTTCTAATACATTGTTCGGTTACCTTTGCTCTGTACCACCCATCCTGCTTCCTCCAGGTCTGGCTGGTGACTGCCTTTCTTCCTCTATGAGTCTTCTGTGTCCCCAGAAGTCTCGACTAACCTCTTCCTGTCTAGCTAATTTATTAAACCAATAACAGTGCTCTTTATTAAACCAATCACAGTGACACTTCTTCACACAGTTTAAAGGAATGTTCTGCAACACCCTTGAGACAAAATGCCAAACCCACTTCACAGATGAGGAAATGGGGGCTTCAAGACTTTGAGATGTCTTAGCTTGTCTTGGTCAAGCAGCTAGAATTCTAGGTGTAGGTTTCTGTCCCCAAGGCCTTTTTGTCTCTATCATCCTCCACACACTGCATGCTAAAAACCTTACCTTCTGACATCATAAATTAGTTAGATTTTTCTCTGCCCAGAGTCATCTGAGGGACTTGGTCATCAGAATTATAAATAAAAGGTGCTGTTCACTGACTGCAGGACTTGAGACAGTTCTCAGCTTTACTGTTGTGGAATGAGTGATTACTGTTTAATTGGAAGATTGATTTGTCTGCACACATCTTAAAGACCTTTTTGCAGTCCTGTACTAGACACCAGAGGCAGGATGGCTTAAGACCTATACTCTAGAGCAGTAGTTCTCAACCTGTGGGCCATGACGCCCCTGGGGGTTACATATCAGGTATCCTGCATGTCAGATATTTACATTATGATTCATTACAGTAGCAAAATTACAGTTATGAAGTAGAAATGAAAGAATTTTATGGTTGGAGTCAGCCCAACATGAGGAACTGTAATAAAGGGTCACAGCATTAGGAGAGTTGAGAACCACTGCTCTAGACAGTCTCTGCTCGGTGTGAAAGCAGACAAAATTAACTGATCAATTCCCTGCTAGTTAAACTGACCAACACCCTTTCCAAGGGACAAAGAGCTTTGTGAAGAAAATGATTCAGGCTGTAATGCCCAGCAGGCCCTCCTGAGGGCTCCTTGAGGAAGTAACACTCAAGCTGATATGAAAAAAAAAACATTAAAAAAGCACCAAAAGAACAAAGAGAAACCTAGACAAAGAGAATAGCACTTGCAGAGATCTGAGGCAGGGAGCAGAATGCCAAGGCTGGAGTGGCGAGGCCAGGCAAGCCAGGTGGGAGTGTGGCCGAGAAGAGCAAAAAATGCGAGGTGACACTTACAGGAATCTGGATAGAAACAATCCCAGGAGAAAGCTGGAGCACAGATGAGACAGATCTGACCTCACGCTTTAGGGCAGTGGCTCTCAACCTTCCTAATGCTGTGACCCTTTAAAATAGTCCCTCGAGTTGTGGGACTGTTTTACCTGACCATTAAATTATGTTGTTGCTATTTCATAGCTGTCATTTTTCTACTGATAGGAGTAGTGATGTAAATATGGGACATGTGACTCCTGTGAAAAGGTCGTTTGACCCTCAAAGGCTGCAGCTCTCAGGTTGAGAACCGCTGCTTTAAAAGATGCAGTGGCGACAGCTGCAGAATCCAGGCCTGGTGCTGGGGGAGAAGCGCATCTTCTGGGGGTGCTGGGAAGCAGGAGGG